CCTTGTTGTCTTGAATGCTTCGCTCCGAAATGCATTCCACTGGAATGACTCTTTTCAATTCAGGATCTGATGTTGACACCAACGCGGCAAGTGCGTCCGCAGTCGTATTCTCTCCCCGAGGTATGCGAATTAATTCGAATTTCGAGAAATTTTTAGATAGATCCTTCACCACTTCGAGGTATGCTTCCATTCTTGAGTCCTTGGCCTCGTAGTCTCCATTAAACTGGTTAACTACTAATTGCGAATCGCAATAAGCGACTATTTCCTTAGCTCCAACTCCTAGTACCAATCGAAGTCCGACAATTAGGGCTTCGTATTCTGCCTCATTGTTGGAAGCATTAAATAATAATCAGAATGATTGTTCTAGAATTTCCGATGTTGGAGATTCCAACTTGATTCCTACTCCGGATCCTTGCTTTGATGAAGACCCATCTACATGTAATTTCCAAGTTTGGTTCTCCGATTGTTCTATCGTTCCAGGTATTGGTAGCTCGGTTAGGAAATCTGCTAAAACCTGAGCTTTCATACTGATCCGGCTTTTGAATTCTATGTCGTACTCGCTCAATTCCATCGCCCATTTCGCCAAACGTCCGGACTGACTCGGACTATGGGATTGAAAATATGGGCGCAGCTTCCGAGCCGAGGTCACCACCGCGAGTGCGAGTTTTTCCATCATTGTATATCTGGTTTCCGGATCCGTCATTGACTTACTTATATAGTAAATCGGCTTTTGCTCCCCGCGGTCTTCCCGGATCAGGACTCCGCTAATTGCATGGTTTGAAACCGACACGTACAAATAAAGCTTTTCATCCACTTCTGGCTTGGATAATATAGGTGGAGTAGTTAAGTATGTCTTAAGCTGCCCAAAAGCTTCTTCACACTTCTCATCCCAAAGGAATCCTTTGTTTCCTTTTAGAATTTGGTAGAAAGGTAGCGACTTATCTGTTGATCTCGAGATAAAACGATTCAAAGCCGTAATCCGCCCAGTCAACCGTTGTACTTCCTTGAAGTTTCTTGGAGATGGCATGTTTATAAAGGCGTTGATTTGGTTTAGATTGGCTTCAATCCCTCTTTCTGTCACTATATAGCCAAGAAATTCTCCGGATGGGACTCCGAATATGCACTTTGCCGGGTTCAGCTTCATTTGATACTTATTGAGAATATTGAAACATTCCTCTAGATGCTTAACGTGATCCTCCTTCTTTAATGATTTAACCAACATGTCATCTATGTAGACTTCCATTGTCTTCCCGAGATGTTTGTGGAACATTTTGTTTACCAAACGTTGATAAGTTGCTCCTGCATTTTTTAAACCAAAAGGCATCACTTTGTAACAATAGATACCTCTATCCGTGATAAATGACGTTTTCTCTTGGTCTTCGGGGTTCATCATTATTTGGTTATAACCCGAAAAAGCATCCATGAAAGTTAACAGCTCATTGCCAGCGGTGGATTCTACAAGTCGATCTATATGCGGGAGCGGAAAACTGTCCTTGGGACATGCTTTATTGAGGTCTGTGAAGTCGATGCAAACCCTATCTTTTCCATTCTTCTTTTTGACAACGACAGTGTTTGCTACCCATTCTGGGTATTGCACTTCCCTTATGGATCCTATTTTTAAGAGTTTGTCCACTTCATCATTTACTATTCTTGCTCGCTCCGCTCCGAGCTTTCTTCTTTTTTGTTTTACCGGCTTGAAGCTTGGATCCACGTTTAGTTCATGACAAATTATGCTTGGATCTATGCCGGGCATATCTGCTGCTGACCATGTGAATGATGTTATGTTTTTTCTCAAAAGTTTGATCAAAGCTTCTTTTATTTGGCCAGTCAAAGTTGCCCCAATTCGAATTTTCCGGTCCGGTTTATCTTCTTCCAACACCACTTCGATTACTACATCATCTTTTTTCTGCCCGCTAGGAAATTTTGTTCTTAGTCCCTCTTTTGCGGGCTTCGTTAATTGCTATTAAATCTTCATACGGTGGCTAGCTAGATAACACGTCCGTGAAGCTTCTTGATCTCCCCGAATTGTTTCCACTCCTCTTGATGTTGGAAATTTGATACATTGATGATACGTAGAGGGGACTGCTTTCATTTGATAAATCCAGGGAGTCCCGAGGATGATGTTGTAAGCCGCGGGCTTATCGAAGACAACGAAATCCACGATCTTTGACACCCGTTTAGCAAGGACTGGTAGTTTGATTGTTCCAAGGGACATGGCTGATTTACTTGTGAATGCCACTAACGGAGATGGAGGCCCTATAATGTCTTCCCGACTAATTCCCATCCTTTCCAAGGTACTTAAAAAGATTAGATCGACCGAACTACCCGTATCGATAAGAATCCTTGATACTTCGAAGTTGGCAACGTCTAGGGTAATGACTAATGCATCATCATGAGGTCTCTCGAGGTGCCGCGTTTCTTCTTCGTCAAATGATATTGATGCACCTTGAAAATCGACTTCTTCACTCAAACTTGCTTTGAGTAAAACATTTTGCCTATGTTTTTTGATTGAACTTATCGAATCTCGACAAAATTTGGAACCTCCTAGAATAACATTGATCTTATCCTTCGAACTCCTTGGTTCTTCCTCGTTGGCTAACCTTGGTCTTTTGGACTCTTGATCTTTGGAATTTTCTTTTGCTCCGTGGTATTCCTTCACAAAATCTTTTATATCGAATTTGGAAAGATCTCAACTAGCCCAAAGTTCCGCGAGGTGCCTTTTAAGGACACTACAATCCTTGGTTAAATGTCCAGTTACTTTATGAATGTCGCAATACAAACTTTCATCACGGACCCAAGTGTTTGACCTTCCTTTCCCTTGGAATTGCTTTCCGATGGCACCGTTAAAGGGTTGCGACCCAAACTTCCTTGGTCCTTTGCTTTCCCTAGGCTCGAACTTCTTGGTAGGGACGGTAATTGCCGGCTTTTCTAGCTTATTTCTTTTGGCGAAATTTTCTTTTTCGTCCTCTACTTCCATCCAGTTGTTTGCACGGAAGAGTGCATCCTGAATTGTGTCTGGTTTATGAAGTATTAAATCTTCTTTAAACCTTGAATCATGTCGCAGTCCTTTTTGTAAGGCAGATAAGGCTGACTGCTGCGAGATTCTTGGGAGTTTTGACAGCACTCCTTTGAATTTGGTGATGAAAACTCGAAGTGACTCATTTGAACCTTGTGACAGGTTCCAAAGATCGGCATCCGAAACACTTTTGTCCATAAGGATGGAATATTGTTTTAAGAACACAGCTGATAGTTCGTCGAAATTGCTGATCGAACCCGGCTCTAATTGGGTGAACCACATTAGAGCTTGGCCACATAGATTTTCCGAAAAGAGCTTGCAGTACCCTGCATCCTCATCAGCTTCATCCAATTCGACTCTTCCGGCAGCTATCAGGAAAGCTGCGAGATAGCTCTTTGGATCCTCTAATCCGCTGTAAGGGTCCAACTTGAGCTTCCGAGAATCTTTGATTCTTAAACTTGCGATTCGCGGAACGAAAGGTGTTCGCCTAGCATCTTCAATGACTCGATTGATATCCGGCTCCGAACTTGTAGCCTGATGGAATTTTGATTTCATTTCTTTTAGTTCTTGGCTAACCTTCCTCATAGTCTCGAACTGGTCGAGGTTTTCCTGCTCGTATTGATCTGCAAGTTGAGCTTCATCTTCAAGCTGTGTCTCTTCTTCCAATGGCTGAACTATATTATTAGTAGCACCAGGAGTTGTTTGTCCGCTGGTTTCATTTCGCGCAGCGGAACTTGGCGAGTTGAGTATCCTTCTTCGGATACCCACAGGGTTTCCTGCACTTAAAGAACGAACACGAGTTTGTATAGTACTGACGTTTTGACTAAGAGATACCTGGGATGTTTGTAATGTGTCGACGGCCTTTTCCACATCCGAGAACTTTTATGATATGTCCGACATGGTTTGCTGCATAGCTTTGAGAGTCTCGGCCAATGATGATTCAACGGCGTCTCCTCCGGGCATTGCTGCTTATCTCGGAAATGTAGTAAGGAAAAAATCTGACCACTCAAGAATCCTCTGTCCCCACAGACGGCGCCAAAATGTGGAAGTCGGATTCACACACTCAAGTATTTTTATTAAGTAGGAAAGATTACTCTTGATGGACAAAAATAAATATGCAAAAAGCTTATGAATTGTTAAAAATTGCTGTAGTATTTCTTCCTCTAGAGAGATCCCCTATACATGGCCATTGGCCTTTATATTTATAAACAGAAAAACGACATTTAAGTGGCTAATTAAGTACAATTATTCTCTCTTAAATGTGTCCGTTTTGATCTTTGCTTTTAATGCTTAACGTTTGAATTTGAGTTGATTCTGATCTTCATGGGCCTCGCCTTTTGGCCCAAATGACCTGAACCAGCTTAACCGTGACTTCGTCTCCGGAATTGTGTCGAGGTGCAGTCACTTCGGATTCTCCTTATGGTGATATCCACTTCGAATGTTCTTTTGACTAGCGGGTCTAACGGGCTTTATCCTTTATGGGCCGTTAACCCAAATACGTGGCAATCTTTGGTTGGTCCCGAACCTCTGGTGCGGGATCCGACACCAACAATCATTTATTTACGAATAAAATTAGAAATTTAAAACATCACTTATAAAATAACTGAGTGAATATTATCAAGGACATAGACATGTGATGCTATCAATGCATTTAATATTGTCTGTCATGCAATATGAATTGTAATAATGTATTCACATTAATTTGGCCATTTTTTTTGTATATTATAATACCAAAATGTCTCACCTCACTAGCTAAATTGATTAACATTATATCAAATTCTAGGGATTTAAATTGTAGATGTTGTTGACCCCAGAAAAGAATTCAATATAATATACATAAAAATCAAGATACCTGACTAATGTAGTGCATGCAAACTTAAACTATGAATTCCTTCACTCTGAAGTTGCTTTTGTTGGTAGGCTACAACCAATAGTATTGTAATTATCGAAGTCACAGAATCATCTAGAAAATTTTCATCATTCATCACCATCGTCAAAATTTAAATTGAAAAGAGACACCAAACATAATAAATGTTAAACCAATAATTCCATTTGAATATAACAAAAAAAATATTCATCATTTTATTATTCGAGTAAATTTTCCCCCTAAAGAATATATATTTGACAATACCATCTTCTCCTTCATGCTCATCTCGTGTCCTCTCTCTATCTCTCTTTCTCCCAACCTCAAACCAACAAAGAAGAGAGCAAATTCTTAGTCTCTTCTTTCTCCATAACAATGGCAGCCTATGGAAGCTTTCACCGAATATTCGATAACCCAAGACAAGACAACTCTCCAAAGTCGTTTCTTGATACTCTCTCCTCTTCCTCACCTTGGAACCCAAGCAAAGGCCTCCACGTCACCACCCACCACGACGAAACGCCGCCACCGTTTACAGAGATATTCGGTGAGCTTCATTTTAGAGAATCAGCCCATTCTTCTTACGAGAAAACCTCAGCGGAGAACAGCAGTCTCCAACTGTGTACGGAAGGTCTAGGGTCAGAGAGTTATTACGACTTGGAAGATGAAAAAGTCAACGTTAAAGTCAACGGTAACGGAGAAGATCATGATGAAGAGATTATTGAAGTGAAGGGTAAAGATAACGGAAGCAACGATGAGGAGTGGGAACCACGACGGAAGGAACGGAAAGAGTATCCTCCGGCGATGACTAGGATGAGCTTCAAGACGTATAGAAAAGAAGGGAGGCTTGTGTTGGAAGAAGTTAGGATTCCGAGGAGAGAGTTTCTTCGAGCAAGCCGCGAAGATGGTCGACTCAGGTTGAAGTTGGTTCAACCCGAGGACGACCATGACGAAGAGGAATAAAATGAGAAAGATAAACATGACGAGGATGAATAATTTTTGCTATTTTCCATAGAATTTGTATCCATTGTTCCGCAAGAAAAATGTCAATTATGAATGTAAAAGCTTCTTTATGCGGGTTTTGTAGTTCAATCAAGCTTTTGTCGCTTAATCATTCTGCCGAGTTTTTTTTTTTCATTTACAACTTCTCTACCATTCTACAATTCTACCAAACTATCAATGGTCAATGGCAAGGAAATTAATTTATTTTGAGTAAGATATATTTGGTTTTGTTTAAAAAATTTGGAAAAATCTCTTTAAATATTAAAAGCCAAAATTGGTAAAAGCTTTTAAGGCTGGGCACCGGTTCGAGTGACAGCTTGGGAGAGGATCAGACCATATAAATGTTATGGTCTCTCATCTGAGAAGATGTACGAACCTAACCTAAGCTCAGAAATCTTTTAGTTATCCAATATATATAAATAGAGAAAACTGTTTCTGTGTCAAGGATAATTTTAGAACAATCCTATTAAAAATATAAACAAAAAGAATAATATTAACAAAAATATTGAAATAACGTACAAAATATAGCTTTTGGCAAAAAAAGAAGAATCATATTTTGGTATATTACATAAATACCATTAAAAATATCGTTTCTTAAATTGTAATAAAATATTGTATAGTTGTTTAAAAAAATTATTTATCTTCGGAGTCAATGAAGAAAGTGTAATTAAAAACAAACTCTGGAATTCATGATAACCAAATAAAGATTGTTTTGTTGAGAAAAAGAAAAACAAATAAAGATTGTTTTGTTGGAGTATAAAGATCGTAGTACAGGCCCAGAGATGAGCCCTGACGTTGTAAAACCCAGATGCTAAACGTTTCAAACCCAGTACGTGAGAGAGTATATAGATTCAGAAGTTTTTTTTTGTTAATGAGTATAGGATTAATTAAGTAGTTGAGCTATATTGAGGTGCGATCATCTAATCCTACTTTTTATTATTCAATCTAATGATGCATTCATATGCTTAATAAGTGATCTTGATGCTAGCATCTAAATAAATAAACGAGCAGTGGACAGTGGTTGATCAATTAAATTTATCTTGATTTACTTGTAGTTACTTTAAACAAAATTCGTTTTAAGTGGATTCAATGGACGTTACCAATTTGATTTTCAAACAAAAAAAAAATTTCAATGTTAGTCAGTCTTCTTTTGTCATCAGGTCTACTGGAGTCAATAGACATATTTCCTAGAAATTATTCCCCGTCACCTAGAGATGAAACATATAGGATCGTGAGACATATAGAGGCGAAATTGAAACTCATATATATGTCTTGGCGTCTTGCGATACAGTTTGCTTTGATTTGATAAGCTAACTTTTACTTTAACCTTGTTGAAATCACTAATCTATTCTTTTACTATCAACTTATTATTCTACTTTTTTTTTATATGCAATATGCGAGTTTTAACTCGAATGACATATCAACGGTATAAACAAAAAAGTTATGTCCATCAAATATCAACTTATTTGAACTTTATGAAATTTGAATTTGAATATTAGTAGTACTCCCTCTATTTCATTTGAATTTGAATTTGAATATTAGTAGTACTCCCTCTATTTCATTCTACCATTTTTTACACAAATTCAGAAAAGTAAACAATTTTTTTTTTTTTAACACATAACAAATTTCATTTCTATCCCTTATTAATATACTCTCCTCCGTTTTCGAATAGTTGTCGTTTTAGAGAAATTTTTTTGTTTTTAATTAGTTGTCGTTTTCAGTTTTCGATGCAAAATTTATTACTTTTTTATTTTTTATATTTATTTTTATTATGCAACTTGATTTACTATTGGTTAAATTATGTTTAGGTAGATAATTAATGATATTTTTATATTGAAAAACTAACAACATTAATAGTTTCTTAATTTGTGTGCATATAGTTAAAACGACAACTATTCGAAAACGGAGGGAGTATTAGATAATACACCCTCTCTAATTAATAAGCTGAAAAAGTAAGGATAAAAAAAAGAATTAGTATTAAAAACTACATTGAAAATATAAAACGACATTCTTTGTGAAGCAAGATTAAAACTTTAAATCGATACTCTCTGTTCACTCGTGAATTTCATTTAATGTTCGATAAGGTAATCAGTCTATTATATTGATTGTCACCGACTACTTAAGTCCTCATAACACTTTTATTGTTACCTTGCTCACACAACTTGTCATTTTTAATGCAAATTCGTATCTGCAAAACCCCAAACTCACGCATTTATTATTAAAAGTTTCACACTAATTAAAGACTCCTTATTTTGACAGTTTTCACCTAAAGTAAAAATATATGTTACTTTCTCCGTTTCAAAATGTAAGACGTTTTGAGGTATTATTTTTGTTTCAAAATATAAGAAATGTAAGATGTTTTCAAGTTTTTATGCAAATTATATATTAATTTAATATTTTTTGATTATTTCTATTAATTTAATTTAATATTAATTCAATATTTTTCGTAATGGATCTGATTGGTAACGAAAAGCTATACAAATTTTTTAGCTGTTACCTAGAACTGTAAGCTTTACCGGAATAATACAAAATTGTAAGAAATAACTGTACAAAAAACTGAGAGTAAGAGGGTGATTGGTGATAGGCTGTTAAGGCTGTAACTCTTTTGTACAGTATTTTTTGCATTTTTAATATTAGTCAATCAGGCTTTTTTTTTATTTTTTGCATTTTTAAAATCATGACAGCCCACCTGATTTTTCTTTCGATTTCTCCTTCTTTTTTTTAAAGTCCCATAATCGTGACTTTTACTTGGCTGTAAAGACAAAAAATAAATAAATTAATCCTTTATTTTTATCTCCTCACGAAAGAAACTGTGAATTAAAATTGCCATAAAATTCTTTTCTTTTTCCTTTTAAAACAATTCCCATAAAATTCATTGATTAATTAATTGAGATTTGATTTTTTCTGTTTTTCTTAAGATCAATTTCTCTATATAAAGAATAACAACCAAAGATTGAACTTGATGCTTAGATGATTTTTTTTTTGATAAACATGCAATACCTATACATAAATTCATTGAAGATAAATAAACAAGTGTTTAAAATTCGAATTTCATTTATCTGATTATTAAAAAAATTATTTGTTGTGACAATTATTTAAGTTTTAAAATTAATAAATTAAATTCAAAATGATATAATTTATATCATTTAAAGTCACAACTTTTACAGTTTTTACCAATCAGTCCTAAAATGTTAACAGTCAAATTTTTTACAGCCAAAATCTCTACAGTCTAAGACAGTCAAAGTCTCTACAGTCAAAAGTAACAGTCGTTACCAATCGTCCCCTAAAACTATTGGTAACGCTTTTAATAAACCTTTTGTGATTGGTAACTGTCAAAACTGTACACCCTGTACCGTTTTGATATTAGGTTACCATTCATAGCCATTATGTTCAACTTTATTTTCCTTATCTTTTACTTGCGGTTAAAAAAGATTTTTATTTTGCCGACAACTAAAAGAAAACTAAATTTAAAGCAGGAAAAAAAAAACAATCCATTGCACAATAGTGTTTTTTATTTTTCAAAGTGTTTTTCTTTGTTTGTTAAAGACCAAATTATTTGTGTGCTTAATTAGTCCCGAATCCAAAAAGATAAGACCATCTCCAATGACAGTTTTTAAAGAGTATCTGAAGATTAAAAAAAATAAAAAGTAATGAAAAAGGTGGAAAGAGAACCATATTCGTTTCTCATATGAAACTCTGAAAATCCACTTTAACAGTTGAGCTTTTATGATTGGCCAAATTTTCCTTATTGTAATTTAAAATTTAAATAAATAATTAAAATAATATAATTGAGAAATTACCATGGATTTCTATGGTTGGAGATGCCATAAGAAACTTGTTTTCGTTCGTTGAAGAAGTCTAATCGGATTGTCTCTGGTTTTTAGGGGTTTTTATTTTGTTTTTTTGGTGATATTGGAACTGAAGATAAAGATTGATATCAAAACGTGACCATATTGTGAAACGATGAACATGTAAGAGGAAGATAAGATTTCGCTCTCTTATAAAATAGTTTATACGTGATTAGAAAATAATGATAATCACAATCTTATTTTGTTAAGAGCTTAACGTGGACGAGGTTCTCTTTTTAATTAATAGTATCTCGATGTTTTTTTGTCTTCTTTTTTGGTTTGTCGTTGTAATTTTTTTATTTTTAAATTTTATTAATGAAAGATGACCCAAGAAAAAATGTGTCAAACAATACTACTAGTGAAATAGATGGAATATATATATATATATATATATATATATATATATATATATATATATATATATATATATATATATATATATATATATATATATATATATCGGACTTCGGCTGCATGCAGGTCCTGCACCATATGATCGAAAAGAATAAATCACAGAAAACTTGATTATAATTAACAAACATCACACGTTAGTTGACAAAACAGAAAATACTAATAATTAATCACACGTTATAAATGGGACATAACTAAATGCTCTAAAAAGAGTAAAACGTTACGTAATTCATTTGTATTAGCCCACTGACGAGAGCGGACCAAGTCTCAAATCTATGCTAACCACAAGAAAAGACACCTCAAAGTATTAGTATGATCGATGACAATTCTGTCGTAAATAAGATCTAAATGCGGAGATTTAGTTGTTTGTTGTTTTCTGGCTCCGTAGATTTGTTTTGTTTTTCTCTTCTTGACTTGCCTTCAGAAAAAATAATGAAGTCTATGGGATGTCAAAACTTGTTTTTGGTTTCGAGATTTTTATTTTGGTGATATGATAGAGTAACCAAATAAAATTAAAGACCATTCCAGCTTATACAGTTTCAATCTTAAAAAACTTTATTAAATAAAACAAAACATTATAAGAACTGAGAATTTAATCGGTTCTTTTTTTTATGTCGATAAAGTTTTTATTCCGGTAATGGTTTGTTAACAAAAACCGAAACGGCCATATACCTTTTTAGTTTTGCTTTTCATATCGATTTTTTGTCATAATTAATTTTTATACAGCACAAATTGTGTTAAATATTTTTTTTGCCAAAATTATCACTTTATAACACTTTCAGTTAATTTTAATTGGAGATATAAATTTTTTTAACTAAGTCTATCTTTAATTTTCAAAAAAATGTTTGTTCGTTAAACACTTAAAAAGGAAAAATAGAAAATGGTAGTTTGGCATAAAAAAGACTTGTTTTTGTTGGGTTGTTAAATAACTTGTTTTAATTGAATTTGACAGTGGAAGCCCCCTTGGCCCATTGGTTGACCAAGGGTTGATTAATGCTTCTACACTAAAAAGTCTGGGGTTCGAGTCCCAGATATTGCGATTTATTAACAAATTTGCAGATTAATTGAGGCAAGTGTGCAGGAGGTCTCCAGCGATGTACAATTATAGCCGTGCGCCAGGATTCTACGCAGAGAAGGAAGTGTCGCTAGGTCGTGGATCATTGAAGGTATTCATCAAGATCATGAAGAAGGAAGTGTAGTCTGTCGTGGATCTACTAAGGGTCGGCAGAAATTGTCAGTTGTAGAATCGTCTATGTAACAGTTCTCATAATTTGCAACTAATAATAAATCTAGACGGCAAAAAAAAAAAAAAAATTGAATTTGACATTTCTGTAATGAACTTTCATACTATTTATAGAAGCCGTCTCATTTATGTAAGAAAAAGTCTCGAGTTGACCTATTTATTAAGTAGAGGTTGAGATTAATTAAGGTCGCAACATACTTAAAACGAATTATTGATGTGGACCACTTTTACCTAACAATCCATAACGGTGCGTGATAAGTTTCCGTATTGCTTTATGCCTTTATGCATTTTATTCTCCGAACTGGTACATGAGTACCATAATTATCTAGGATCTCGTACACTAAAATCGTTATAGAGTGTTTTTGAATTTGAAATATGAATATCAGTTGACTTGGGGGTGGCGGTATCACAAAGCTAGTCGATATAGGAAGCATTTAACCTAGGTTGAGAAAATACACAAATATACCATCTTCTAATTAACTTGCAAATATATGATGTGGAGATTTTCAAAAAATGGGGCATATAGTCTTCTTCTTTTTTTCTTTTTTCTTTGTTAAAGTGTCAACTTTTGTTATTTAGATTTCAGAGGAATTGAAGTGTTTTTTTTTTGTTTTTTTTTTTTTTTTTTGTAATATGGTCAATAGTTGTGAATGATTATAACATTCAATTATCTTCAAAATTTATAATTTTCAGATCTATGTAGTTACAAAGTATATTGGTATTTAAAAAGTCATCTAGTGTAATAATACTCAATGATTAAATTTTGGAAATTAATTTGCAACTATATAAAAGATAATGTACCATGATAAAGTTAACGTACTTGCAAATGGCCGAATTTATGTCATGAATTAACGAAAATACCCCAAGGCAAAGTCTTCTTCATCTTTGTTAACTTGTTATATACTTACATATATAGTTTGTTTTGTTATGTAAATAAATAAAGTTGTATATTTCAGTTTTACTGTACCGTCCATAATTATGTTATTATACTTTCACTAGAAATTACATGTTCCTTAATTAATGAACCTCGTTACAAAGAATATTATCCTCTGAAAAATTGATTAGGCATTAGAAAACTAACCTTAAAAAATATGACTAATCTGAGTTTGCTTCAAAAATACTATTTTCCAAAACTGGCAAGCCAAATTAAAAGATAGGAAAACTAAGGGAAAAGAGACTGAAACTTGACGGCAAGACGAATGCTTGACTCATTCAATGGACGTACGTGGCTCGTAAAAAGTTTACTAAACAGTAAACACATAACAACGAAAGTAATCAAACACACACACACACAAAACATCCTTGTCGTCTTTACCAATATCCGTACAAAAAGGGAAATAAAAAAATAATCAAAAAACGCGTAGAGAACTTTTCTACATTCACTCGGAGAAACCAATCTTTACAGCTTTCAACAACTTATTTAATGACAATGAGTCCATAACATCTAAGTTAATAATATAGGTAGAGCTACAATTAATTAGAGTTTTTCTTAATATTACCTATATCGTACAAAAATGGCGGATGAGGTCACAATCGGGTTTCGCTTCTATCCCACGGAAGAGGAACTGGTTGCGTTCTACCTACGAAACCAGCTTGAAGGAAGGAGTGACGACTCAATGCACCGTGTCATTCCTGTTCTTGATGTCTTTGAGGTCGAGCCTAGTCATCTTCCAAGTACGTTACCCTCACCCAAATTGTCTCTCTTAAGTACTATGACAATAAAATCATCATCATATATTTTACTTTAAGTCATTAGGGCAATATACAAGTTAGGTTTTATAGCACGTAAACTTCTCCATTTTGGTGTTCGGTTTTCTTGTTTTAGAAATAAAGTTACCTGATTCCATATCGGTTAATTTAGTTGGTTTTGAATTGGTTCGGGTTTGGTTTAATCAGATTGAACACCCCTAAAACACATGAATAACTAATTTTTTTTTTTTTAAACTATATATATATGCAGTGCCGGCTCTCCCCATGTGCGGGGAGTGCTCATGCACAGGGTTCAAAATTTTTTTGTCTTTTTTTTTAACTAAATTTATTAAAATTAGGGTCCAAATTTTTTTTTTTTTTTTTATATATACATAAGAAATTAGGGCTCAGGGTTCTTAATTTTTTTGAGCCGGCCTGTATATATGGCTAGTGTTAATATATGGAACTTACATATTTTTGTAGATGTTGCGGGAGTGAGATGTCGAGGAGACGCTGAGCAATGGTTCTTCTTCGTGCCACGACAAGAACGCGAAGCTAGAGGAGGTAGACCGAGTAGAACCACGGGGTCAGGATACTGGAAAGCGACTGGATCACCTGGTCCTGTCTTTTCCAACGACAACCGAATGATTGGAGTCAAGAAAACTATGGTTTTCTACACTGGGAAAGCACCAACCGGAAGAAAAACAAAATGGAAGATGAATGAGTACAAAGCCGTTGACGAAACAGTCAACGCTTCCACAATCCCTAAGGTATACTTGCATATATAAAGTTTTAATTAAAACATTCTTGGTTAAAGTGTTTATATAACCAATGAAGATTTTTGTTTTTGCTTTTCTTGATATTTTGCAGTTGAGACATGAATTCAGTTTATGTCGTGTCTACATAACAACAGGAAGCTCCAGAGCATTTGATAGACGTCCTGTGGAAGTTTTGCAGACAGAGAGAATGCTTACAAGTGATGTTGCGGTGGCTGAGACATCGTTTCGTGTCGAAAGCTCATCGGAAACTTCGATTTCAGGAGGAGAAAATATTGATCTCTCTATGAGTACAGAGTTGGTTGATGGATTAACAGAACCAATCTGGGAATGGGAACAGCTGAGTTGGCCTTGAAGCTATATAGATTTTATAATGAAGCAAATTTAAGTTGTTTCAATTGCTTATTGTTAGTTGAATTTTATGACCACAATGATTCTTTCTCTTATTTTTTACTACCTTGTAACGTGAGAATTTAGGCAAGAATAAATTACCCAATAAGTATAGTATTTGAGATGTTTTCTAGAGAATGTGGAAGTCATGGGCACGTGTGATCAGAAACTCAAAAGTCTAAGACTTGAAATTAAGACGAAATAATCAAAAACTAAGAGGAAAAAAGTAAGACAAAGTTTGGCAAAAAAGTTAGCATAATTACCAAACCAGCAAGTTGTGTCAAAATCAATGTTGTTTAGACATAAACCGAACCCAAAAATGCAAAAAAGGTTCATACACACCGTTACATGGTTTGGTTCAGAGATATTTTAAACCAGCTCTCTTCTTTGAAAGTTTCATCAAGCTCTGTCTCGATTTTCTCAGTCTTGTGTTTCCTCGTCTTCCATGTACTTCTCTTGGACAGCCGCAACTGTGAAGACTATCGTTAAAGAAACAACTCTTTTGTTGTAGACGTAAAACTAAAACTCAAGAGCTATTGAGAGAGGCAATGGTTAAGAAATCATAATTCTAAAAAAAGGATATCTGTTATAATCCCAATCAGTTTGACCAATCGCAATCTTGCTGTATTCAACCACACTTGCATCAATGCCAGAAAATATGTATCCATTGCTCTTGTCAATGAGCTTTACTAGATCCCCAACACTTTCTTTGTCCTGAAAACAAAAAGAAAATTGCGAAAAGATGCTTGCACAGAGAGAAAGAGAGAGAGCCAGAGGAGATCGCAAACCTGAATATCCAAGGTAGTAAAATTAACAAGACTGTAATCTTCAATAACACTACATAGCTCTTTTGTTAGTTTTCTGCAATGAGAAACGTCGGGCTCATGAGATATTGAGAATGCTTCTAAGCGGACAATTATTGATCATTCAATGTTGTTTATATCAAACCTGTACTTAGCAGCGCGAGGATCTTGACTAAGATGGTGCTCCAAGTATGACAAGTCTTGAACATCGGTATAGAAATCTAAATTGAAAGCTACATGCACAGAGATGCTAGTTAGTGAGTCTATAGTTACTTTTGAAAAACCGATGTTATGAGAACAAACCATAGATAGATTATAGATACCTAGCTTTCCGTAGCTTCCAATCAGATCGATTTTAGACAAGACATTGACATGTGGGAGTTCCATGTGAAGCATTGTGGATAAGGAGAGAAGCAACGCGCTTACATAGTTCCCGGGATCACAACATAGATGGGAATCAATTAGTTGCACAGCAGTTAACTGCAGAACAAACCAACAAACAAAAAAAGAAATTCATCAGATATGTAGACTCCTAAGTAACGTTCATTTAGCAAGTTGGTAATAAGTAAAGAAAAGCACATACTCTAAGGTTCAATGATTTTATCAGCTTCGTGAGAACATTCTTGGTACTGTCATGAATGAAGAACAATTCCACTTGGCCAGGAAAATCAAAGAGAATGTAATGATCTGCAGATAATTCAAAACTTTACTTTCACGAAGAGACATTACGACAAAAAAAAAAAAAAAAGAGGAAGAAGGGACTTATTGTTGCTAACCCTTCAGAAGAGGCTTTAGTTTAGATTCCAGCCAGTCAATGTTTTTCTCCAAGTACTCCATACAATATACAAGACCTGTTTCATTAGAAATTTTGTTGTTAATTTGACCAAAGATAAAAATAAAAAGTACGAAGAAAAGGAAAATCAAGATGCAAAATTCACCTCCATTAGGACCAAGCGAGTGTTCCGGCATAACATCTTCTAACTTAATCAATTCTTCTATATTCACAGCACACTCATAACTAAAATCAATGTCAAGAAACAATATACACCTGAAATTTTTAACCATTTTGTATATATTGGCTTAAAAAGGATACGGTAATGCATCATTTGCAGGATCCAGATTAACAATAGCAACCTTCCTGCAAATAAAAAGAAAAGTAACTCAACGTTAAGAGAATATACTTACAGAGAAGTTCTCACGAATCTGCAAATCTCTCGAGCAAAAAAAAGACAAGGCAACAACATTAAACAATCAAGTAACCATGACTCATCTCACAAGTCAGGCAATTCAAATTTCTGGAATTTAAGAGACTATTTATTAACTAAAGTTTGCAACTTTACAAAGCTAGGGACAGCGAAAAAATCAATACAAACAGAATTACAGATACAAAAGTAAGCAAGCTTCTTTCTTTGATCCAAAAAGAGAAAAATTTGAGAAAAAAAAGAAAGAAGATGAAACCTGCCCATTAGAGAGAGGAACTGAGACATGCCATTGCAGTAAGTGGTCTTGCCTGATCCAGGAGGACCTATTACTACTTGTCCAAACACCATGTTTCTGAATAAAGAAGATTGACCCCAATCTGAGACAGGGTCAAACACCTGTTGTATAATATCAGAACCAATCAGACAATAGACAGAAAAACACAGCAATTTCAAAGCACAATCAAAGTAACATAACATGAATATTCAATATAGAAACATCAAAACCCTTCTAAACAAGAGTTCTAAATACTGAGCTCGTAGCAGGTAGCACAATAGAAATCGTACATGTCATTTGTTCGTCGGAGACAGAAAACCAACACAATCCGCCATTATCATTAACCAAATTCCTAAACCTCGTTTATAATTCAACAAACACTTCACTGGAGAAAGAGAAGCAGAGAAACAATTTGCTTCTAGAGCATAATCATTATCTCAACTGGGGACAAAGAAGAAAATAGATAGAAGCTCGCCTGTGTAATTCTCCGGAGATAGAAACAGCGAAAAGTCTGTTTACCGGAGCAAGAGAATCGCCTCAGTCGCCGGAGTCTCGATTCGAGGCGAAGTAGCTCTCGTCGACAGTGGAGACTCGTGATCGGTATATTTAAACTTAGGGATTTAATTTTAATTCGGTTTATTCGGGGTAATACTCGAACCGAACCGGATAATCGAAGTTAAAAAGAAGGAACCGATCGGGTTATTGATGTATCCGAACCCAAACCGTATGCCGGGTCGGTTTGTTTTCTGATAATTTACAAAGGTCCAAGGCCTAATAAATTGGTTAAATGTAAACCGCTGCTTCAGGGTTTAAAATGTAAGAAAACAATATTTAGGTGACAATTAAAAACGTAACAATAAACAAGGGGTTTTATTCGAAACGTTTGCACCTAACCTTATAACTTCGCATTTTATAGACTCTGGCTCTGATCGCAGCAAAGTCGACGTTGAACTTTCTCGCCGCCGGAGCGCGTGATCCACACTCTCTGACATCGAACCACTCCGATTGAAGATTCTCCGATGGCGATTGTATATGCGGTAGTGGCGAGAGGTACGGTGGTATTAGCTGAATTCAGCGCCGTTACGGGAAACACAGGCGCCGTGGTGCGACGGATCCTTGAGAAGCTTTCACCGGAAATCGCCGATGAAAGACTTTGTTTCTCACAAGACCGTTACATCTTCCATATTCTTAGATCTGATGGTCTTACCTTTCTCTGTATGGCCAATGATACCTTTGGAAGTAAGAATTTTTTCCCCCTTAGATTCCGAATTTTTGGTTCTCTTTGTGTAACTTATGTTTTGATGTGTTGGTGATTGGATTGCTAGGGAGGATTCCATTTTCATATTTGGAAGATATTCATATGAGGTTTATGAAAAACTATGGAAAAGTGGCGCATCATGCTCCAGCTTATGCAATGAATGATGAATTCTCAAGGGTTTTGCATCAGCAGATGGAGTTCTTCTCTAGTAATCCTAGTGTTGATACTCTCAATCGTGTTAGAGGAGAAGTCAGTGAGGTAAATTGTTTCTTCGTATGATCTCTAGATTGAAAAGGTAGTATCTTTTTAGTTATTACAGGCTTCTTTAAATCTGTCTTGTGTGAAAGTTTTTTGGTTTGTTTCAATGTTCATGAGCTCCTAAATACCGTTATCTGATATCTCTGTGGAAGAAGTTTGTTATCTCATTGTTGTGTTATTGTGTTTACAGATTCGATCGGTCATGGTAGAGAACATTGAGAAAATAATGGAGAGAGGTGATAGGATTGAGCTTCTTGTTGATAAAACAGCAACGATGCAAGATAGCGCGTTTCACTTCAGGAAACAATCTAAGCGTCTCCGCCGAGCTCTTTGGATGAAAAATGCTAAGCTCCTGTAAGGATCTCTGTCACTTCTAGATTCTCTTAATTTCTTTTGTTTGCTAATTACGAGATATACCCATCTACATTCTAGGTGTTTCAACTCGCCTTTGCTTTTTTTGTTTGTGTTCGGCAGGGTACTGTTGACATGCTTGATAGTTCTTGTGCTGTACATAATAATCGCATCTTTCTGCGGAGGAATCACTTTACCGTCATGCAGATCTTAAATTCTGGCAGCCTTATCTAAGGTAACCTGAAACACACCACTGTTATTGTAAATCAACTCTGTCGCATCCTTTCGACTCTTAAGTCTTGGTTTTGTCATGAAAATGACAGTGAGTTTGAGGTTACATGTCACGGTCCTCCTTGCTTATGTAACTCTTGTAAATGTCAAAATGATACAGAGGTTCATTGAACACTTGCCTTGTCTTGTAGATTTAGTCACTTGAGTGAGTTTGTTCTCTGTATTTCAAAAACTTTATCTGCTGTGTCTTTATAATTTTTGCATTTGCAATGTACATCACATATTCGTTATTTCTGTTGTTAAAATGACTTGAGTTTTCATCTTGGTTTAATAACATTTCTGATTCACAAATATCTGTTCCCATCATCCCTGTCTATGTTTTCATTAACTAAACCATATTAGTTGGTACTACCTTTTTAGCAAGTTTGGCATAACTTGTTACGACTTTATAGATGTCATTGATTCAGTTTAATCCTACCTGTACGGATGAACACAGTATGAATATAACCAGAATGCTTAGCACTTGTAGTTGGAAATAAACTCTTACATCCAAAAAATTACGAGAAACAATAGAATGAAATAAACAGCTATATAGTTGTTCTTTAGCTGTATTGATAGCCGGGCACTACACATTTATCGGAACAAATGTATCCAGTGTATGGATCACAAAGCTTTAGAATGATTGGAGCTCTGCATCTGGAGTGACATTTTGCACAGAAGGGGCGAGAACTATGGTTGTTAGGAACCACTTCAACTTTAACTTTATTGTAGGTGATGATGCGTCCTGGCATGAGACGTGAAAAATCTCCAAGTACACAATCAATATGTGCAGTAACCACGCATTCAGAGCAAGTGTAGAACCACTTACTTGGATCTGTTTCCGCCTCACAAATATCACACCAATATTTTCCGGTTGCATTTTCGCCATAGCATAGGGAAAGAGGATGATCGTCGCAGCTGTGCTTTACTACTTTTGGTAAATCAGTACAGCGTAAATCCAGATCAAAGTCACAAGTATCACAGGAAAGCAGATAACCATCTATCTCTTTAATACATGCATCACAACAGTGATCTTCCTTATTTTCGTAATATAGAGGATGTTTGTGACCATCATGAATGACCGGTTCAGAACGCGAACCACAACGTACATCTAGAACCCACCAATCCGAAATGTACCTGAAACCAGTAGACTTTGTTCTACAAGCCTTGCAGCGAAAGACATCGTAGAATCTAAAATCTTTGCTATGGAATGTTCTTGGTGGTCTTGACCATAGTGTGAATGGTTTCGTGTGGAATACATGTCGTTTCTTTTTTGGATGATTAGCGCATTTCTCATGGAGAATGAAACGACAGTCCTCACAGTTGTAGATCGGATTGGAATAGATAGGAAGGACGCATGCTTCACAACGTGAGCCTTCGTCACGATCGATATTGTCCTTATTGAGTCTTAGATTATGCTCTTCATGACTGAAATGCTTGATCAAGTTATCACCCACCACTTTGAACGGCGCAATATCTTCGTTATCCTCAGGTGTCCCTTCGAGTTCTATCCCATCCCATACGTCGTTTCTTGTTGCACATAGTGAATGAGCGGCATAGCTGGGACAACGAGAGCAGGAATAAGCCCCGTGGTATTGACTTATATCTTTGCGACAAATACCGCATTTCGAATACCCAACACCGAGATGATGAGTGAGGGATATGCGATGATCGTGACGGTTGATGTTAATGACACGTGGTAAGTCAATACAAGTTCGATGGACAACAAACCCGCATTGAATACACATGTAAGGACTTCGATCACCTTGCATCCCACATGCATTACATTCAAATGAGATGAGTCTTGATAAGAGGACAAGTCGATGCTCGTGCGTCTTATGATGCTCGATAGCAAGGGGTGGTGGATCTTTTGTACAAAATCGGCATATGCTGAAGTTGCATATCGAGCAGCGATAAAGCACCTTGTCTGGTCGTTCTCCACATAAAAGACATGTCTTTTCGGCATCACTTGTTAGTGATTCGTATCCAAGTAACTCGAGAGAATGTTGAGGATGAGAAGGATGATTCACCTCCTGGGAAAAATTGACACACTCGACATGAAAGTGGACTTCACATTCAATACATGCATAAGAACATCCACCATTATATCCCTTGCAAATTCCACATTTGCGCCGGCCCGGCTTTGCAGGTTCTTTCAAGAAGACAACTGGATGATGATGAGACTTTGGATGTTCAATAGCAAGCGGCAATGGATTTATCCCACAGGTGAGATCCACGGTGAAGTCGCATTTTGATGAACAACGATAGCCAAAAGCGAAAAAGGTCTTGCCACATATATTACACTTACATGGTTTTCGTAGAGAATTGTGGAGTTTGAGAGGATGTTGAGGATGAGAAGGATGGTTTGTAATCTCTGGTGGAGCCTCGGCGCACTCTTTGTGGAAGATCAAACCAGTAGAGGTAGGCTCGTTGCAACGGTAGCCGCCGTAGATCGGACCTTTTACATTGCAGCCTTTACAAGAATCATTAACAAAACGAGTCGAAATGGTCAAAGGATATTTGTAAATTGGTAGTATTTTGGTTGATGGATCCATTTTGTGGTTTTGAGATTTTGTGATGATTCAAATGAGGTTTGTTTTCTCGAGATCTCAAGATGGTACTCCATAAATATAACAAAAACACGTCATGTGTGTACACCTTAATTTTGCTGTGGATCTGCTATGATTCATGTGCAATCAATTCCTCAGTCCTTTCTGAATTAGTAAATTATAGTATTACTTAAAAATGTTTCACGAGATTAGTATCTTACTACATCTTCTTCGAATTCACCTAAAATATTATTAATATGTTGTTGATAAAATTTCATATTCCTAATAAGTGAATACGACAGGCACATTAAACTAAGTTATCACCTTCAGCTACCCCTACTATAATACTTTAAAAATACTCCAGCAAATTCATTTCTTAAATTCAAACGTCTAACGTGTTAGCAGCTAAGATATTTATTAATATTGTGGGTCATTTCTACAATTTCATATTCCTAGCATGACTCTAGCATTTTCTTATACTACGATAGATAATAAATCATTATTAGTCTCTTCGGGGACATCCGATAAAAAAATAAATCATTATTAAGGAATGATAAAGTTTAAACTAGACAAGTCATAAATGTGTTCACAAAACACAAAACCCGTATTAATAACTGCACAAAAAATTGTGAAGTTTAGAACCAAATATCTTGATAAAATTTTTAAGGAATACGTGATTACGGGAATCGAACACGGTGCTTAAAGGAGAGAAAATGTACCGTTTGTAAAGGTTCTTAAGATATGGATGGAACGAAGCAACAGATTACAAAACAATGGTTCCTCCACTCCACAAACAATCTTTAATGATTGATTTGGAACGCGGTTCACGCCAGAAAGAACAGCAAAAACTATGGAGGTCTAGTGCAAACTTGGCTCACTATTGAATAGCTTAACTCCTCTTTTGGTAGGTTCGTTCTTGTTATTATCTTTTTTTTGGGGAGGAATAACTTCTTTGATTAAGCTTTTTTTTTGTATTTGATTACATATCCTCCTATTTCTGATTCCTTAATAAAATTCATATCAGAAAAAGCTTACCGAGAGAATAAGAAAAAGAATGATCTTTTACCAAAAAAAAAGAAAAAGAATGATCAAAGAAGCTTGCTTCGGAGGAGTGTGAATATGAGGGCGAGACAAAACGAGGCACAAGAAGAAAAACAATAATGGTTGGGCTTTTTCAGATAAGGTTTCTACATATTGGGCCTAAGAAGAGGCTCATAAGTCATAAGGTAAATAACTAGCTATATTAGAGGTGACAATTAGAAAACCAACAATTATGTGAATGTGAGTAATATATTGTTTCCAAAATAGTTTTGTTGTTTTAATTTTTGGATGACTCTCTAGTTTAATCGGTGAGATTTTAATTTATCGCATAGCATCATATAACAAAACAAAATTCCGAAACCTAATATTGTAATATCAAAATTCTAAATCATACACTTTATTTCGTAAATTAGATATTTACACTAAAAAATAATATCTTAGGGAACAAAATTAATATTCATTTCGCAAATTAAACGCTTACATAAAAAGTAACATGTTACCAAAAAAATTTACTCTCCCCATAACAATTAAATTAAGAACTAAATGGTCCAAAAAAAATTATTCACATCAAATCATTGTTATTTACTTAATTTAGTAATTTTCATATACTTCTTTGCCATCTACTCTAAATACTCAAAAACACATATACATTATAAATTTTAAAAGAATTAATTTCGGATTTTGCTCTCTTTCATAGTAGCATTTGTGGATTTTGCCATTTTTTGAATAGTTTGTGGATTTTGCCTTTTTTCAGGCTCCAAAAATATGATTTAACATGCGTTTCACTCGTTATGTTTGGTTTTAGTCGGTTCCATTTGTTCTTAGGGTTTAGTATTTGGTATAAATTACGTATTTTTGTAAAAAAAATCAAAAAATACATATATTTTTAAATGTTAAAAAAGGCAAAATCCGTAAACTATTAAAAAAATAGCATTTTCGTAAGTTTTTCCAAAAAAAATGGTATTTTAGACAATAATCCCATTTTTAAAATAATATGTTTTTGTTTTGTTTTATTGATTAACAAAAAAATTAGTTTTAAGAGTTTGATTTGTGGCTTTGTTTTGCCAAATTTTGTTGCGTAAAGACACGCTCTTGAAGGAGAAAAGGAAAACAATCTCTCTTCCGCAACATTGTCAAAGCACGACCTCTCTCGCTCGCTCTCGAAATCAATTCCCCAATCTCGTTGTAGTTTCTCTAGGGTTTTTGATCGGAATCGAAATCGAAATCGAAACCGGCATGAGGCCAATCCTGTTGCCGGATCCACCCAGTTTATCTACCGGCGTACCTGATATTTTCGAACAAGGCGGTGCTCAGAACGTCGTCAGACGCGCCGTCGTCATCGGAAACGGTTTCCCTGGCTCCGAGAATCAGTGTATCGGTCTCGTTCGTGCGCTCGGCTTAGCCAATAATCACCTACTCTACGTGAGTTTGATCTAGCCTCTAGTCGTTTTTTCATTTCTTCGACTATTACCATTGATACTATACTCGGTATTTCCATTATCTTCATTAGTTTTTGCTGGGCGCATGATTTAGTAGTGAGATTGATGATTGCTTTTGAATCAAGAATTTCCTTAGAGAGAAATAGTGCCAGTTTGGTACTCCACCATGTAAGAGCTTGCTAGGTCTTGATAGTAGCATTAGTCCTAGGTGCAATTACTGAATTTCGTTTATAAGGAACAGTGGTAGTGGAGTCTTTAATGCT